AGGCTGGTCCCTGGGCACAGGGTGGGCGCTGAGCCCTGGGCACGGGGACCGGCGCTACCCCCCGCTACAGGGGGGTGCAGAAAGGAGAAGGGGTTGGTCGTAGGGCGCACAGGGAGCCAGAGCTGGGAGAGAACCCCGGATCCTGGCTCCAGCCCCACTGGTCCACCCTGGGTGAGCTAAAGAGGCGCCCAGGTCAAAGCAGGGGCCCTGTCTCCTTCCCCTCTCATGTGGCCTCAGGGAGCCGACCCTGGTGCGCTGGGATCCCAGCACCCGCCTCCCGGGGACTCCAGCTCAGCAGCGTTTCTGCTGGGAAATGCACCAGGAGGCACCGAAAGTGGCTCCCTGGCTCCAGCCCCACTGGTCCACCCTGGGTGAGCTAAAGAGGCGCCCAGGTCAAAGCAGGGGCCCTGTCTCCTTCCCCTCTCATGTGGCCTCAGGGAGCCGACCCTGGTGCGCTGGGATCCCAGCACCCGCCTCCCGGGGACTCCAGCTCAGCAGCGTTTCTGCTGGGAAATGCACCAGGAGGCACCGAAAGTGGCTCCCACCGGGCGCCGGCCAAGTCTGGCCAGGCAGCTGCAGGCGAGGCGGGGTTTACCCCAGGCTTGCGACGGGGCCGGATCCTCCTGGGACTCCAAATCCGACCCGAGGGGAAGTTGGAAGCCAGGACGCGCCTGCGGCTCTCCCTGCCCAAACGCCGAGGTGAGGGGCCTGCAATGGGAGGACAGCTGCGCCGTTGGGAGCACGTGCCCGACGGGGGCCAGCAGCTGGACAGGGCCCCCGCGGCGCTGCCACCCATCCCAGCAAACAGAGCCAGCAGCAGGGTCCTGGAAGCCCAATGCTGACCCACAGGACCAAGACATGGGCAGATTCACCTAACAATGCTTGGGGAGTGTTAAAACAGCTGCCACGTCCCACCCCAGAGGTGGCTGCATTTCAGTGTCAGGCCCAGGGTCTCCAGTGCATAGACTGGGCAGTAGGGTTGAAGGAAGCAGCTGGACAGGGGCAGTGTCTAGGTTAGCACCCAACAAGGCCCAGGGAGGGGCACCAGACTCCAGTAACACCAATGCTAAATAACCAGAGCCCCCAAGCTCCTTGGCTGTGGTCCCCGGCTGCAGGACACCAAGCTCCTGGCCCACCCTGAGCCCCAGTCCAGCAGGTGTTCGTGCCATGTGGCAGGACCCTAGCTCACACCAAGCTCCGGCAGCGCCGCCCCGGCCTCGAGACGCCCCAAGACTCGGCAGCCCCCGCGCTAGGCACGGTGCGTGTGCACACACAGATGACACCCAGTTGCCGGGGAGTTTCCAATCTACCTAGGGGGCTGGAGAGAGGATGGGGCTGCGGGGAGCCCGGCTAAGGCAGTGGGGTCGTGGGTTCCTCCTCCCGTTTCGCAGGCAGAGAATGGGGGCGAGTGCTGGTCTGGCCAGGCAGGACAAAGCCAGGCCTGGCAGCCAGGACACGGTGCGTGTGCACACACAGATGACACCCAGTTGCCGGGGAGTTTCCAATCTACCTAGGGGGCTGGAGAGAGGATGGGGCTGCGGGGAGCCCGGCTAAGGCAGTGGGGTCGTGGGTTCCTCCTCCCGTTTCGCAGGCAGAGAATGGGGGCGAGTGCTGGTCTGGCCAGGCAGGACAAAGCCAGGCCTGGCAGCCAGGAGCCGGGAGCCCCAGCAGCCAGCTTTGACCTGGGACCCCCACCCTGCCCTCCACAAGTGGTCTGGCCAGGCAGGACAAAGCCAGGCCTGGCAGGCAGCAGCCGGGAGTCCCAGCAGCCAGCTTTGACCTGGGACCCCCA